CCCCGCTGCGTGCCCCGCAGGCCCGTGCCTTGAAACCAGTGCCCCCCCCCCGCTGGCCCAGAGCCTTAGCTCCATGCACTACATGCCCCACACCACAGCCCCCCCATCTCAGCACCGCAGCACCCAGTGCAGCCCAGCACCCCAGAGCAGTGTCCCCAGGGCCGGCCCCCCCGTATTCCAGCCTCGCACTGCCCAGCTCTCTTGCACAGCTCCGCTCCATGTAAACACGGAGCGGGGTGGGGGGGCAGGCTGGAGCCCTGCGCGCCGCACAACCTTTGCCCAAGGGAGGCCGGGGAGGGAGCAGACAACCTCACCCCTTGCTCCACAGACTGGCCACGCAAGAGGCCGGGAGAAGCGACCTCTGAGCATGGGGCCAGGGGAAAAGAGGGCTGAGCCCTGGTCATGACGCATGGCATCAGGACGTAGATAATGCTGCACCGATTCGGTATCTCACTTCCAGCCCCCAGGGAGAGAGGTAGGGAGCACCGCCCCCACTGCACGGCAGGGGAAACTGAGGCACAGAGCCGGGCAGTCACGTGCCCGAGGCCAAACAGTGAGTCAGTGGCAGAGGCAGGAAGAGAACCCAGGACTCCCAGCTCCACCCCTTAGGCCTCAGTTGTGTGTTGAAAAGAGCCCGGGATGGATCCTGCTGGAGTGGTCGCAAGTTTGACCTTTTAGGACTCTAGATTCCTCCTCACGCTTCTCCAGTGACAGCCCTTTTCCCCAGCACACAGGGCTGGGGGGGAGGGGGGGGAAGGGGCGCATATTGACCCCCCCCCCCCACCCCAGCAGATCCCTGTGCCAGTGGGGAGAAGCAGCACAAGGAGGCTGCAGGCAGGCAGCTCTTACCTGGCCACCTGCAGCTGGAGCTGGCCGGAGCTCTGCTTGATCTTGTTCTGCGCCTCCACGTTGAGCATGCCGGCCGTGCTCTCGCCATTGATGGACGTGATGACGTCACCCAGTCGCAGGTCGCCGGCCGCTGCCTTGCCGTGCTCTATCACCTGCACAGCGAGGGGGAACGACACCCGGCGTTACCGCAGAGACAAGCCACCTGGGGGAGCCACAATGCCAGCGTGCCAACCAACTCCGGCATGCCAAGGCCCCCTGCCAGCCTTGCCCGGATCGCCAGCACCCTGCCCACGGGAGGGGCAGGTACACAGGGAGCCTGCCCAACCTGCCAGCAGCACGAGACACAAGCCAAGCCCTGCCCGGAGCTCACACTGACAGCCCCCCGCCACACCACCAGCTTCAGCTTTTCCCCAGGTCGGCTTCTCTGCCGGAGCCCTGCCAGGACGCTCCAGCTGCCACATGGCGTCACTGGAGCCCATGGGGCCTGCAGAGACTCCGCCACCTGCCCCGTGCCCAGGCTGGCTCCGAGAAGCCCTCCATTCCACCGCGGGGCCTAGCGCTTCTGCCCCAAACAAGAGGGGCCCAGACATCTTAGTTAGGGTTGTGAGGGGATCATCCCGGAGCTGGGAACCAGAAAACCACCGAATACCCAGCAGCCCTCGGGAAGCGGCCACACAGGGCAGGGAGTAGGCCTGGAGCCGAGGACGCTGCTACTCAGCTGCGTGCCTGGGTGGCTAATACTCACCCGCCCTGTGGGTGAGACTCCCCACGCACCCTTCCCCCAGGCCTGGCTCGCTGCTCACGCTAGCCTTGGCTCTCTTTCAACATGCCTCAGAGTTCACTCCGCCTGGTGCGTATCCACCCCTCCCACCTCAGGGGAGGAAGTCAGGGCGGTTTTATAAATGAAACTGGAATGAATAGAAAAGCCACACGAGGAGAAGTTAAGGTTGCAAAATCAAGTCCTTCAAAGATAGGAAATGCCAGAATGAAGGCTGCCCCTTTACCCTCAGCTTAGGCCCCTTTGTATCACAGGCTGTTCTCCACAGGAGCCTCATTCAGTGCTCAGTGATGCTGGGAAAGGTTTCCTTTGCCCATTACGTTCCCTATGGCTCGCTGTCCCAGCCCTGCTCTGAAGGGAGCATTATTCAGGTCCTCCTCGCCTTGCTCTCCAGGGCTCTCCTTGCAGGCTTCATGTTTTGCAAACACGAATTAGCAAAAGGCAGAGTCTGGGAAGCGAGGGGACAGTATCACCCCCTCCCAATCTTGGGGGTGCACTTCTACCTCTCTGGCCCACAGGTCTCAAGTCAGACACACAGAAAACGAACACAGAATTAGCAACCCCCTGTCAAGCAAACATCTGGTTTAAGTGACTTTCCCAGCACCATACAGGAACGCAGTGGCAGGGACCGAGTCTGGTTCTCCAGGGCACCACAACCACCGTCACCATGTGACTATCTCTTCTCTTCCGGCAGCCCCCCGCCTCACCCTTCCAGCCTCTGTGACCAACGAGGCCAATTCCATTCTCAGAAGCAGCGGAACCCTCTTAGCCGAAACTTTCCAAAGAAGTTCAGCCCAAGACGGGCGGTTGGCATGGAAGGCACCAGCCCAAAGCCTGACAGTTTGGCTTCGGAAGACAGGGCCTTATAACGGGCAAGCGTCCAGCGACCTTCAGAGCAGACGTTGAGGCGGCCTGAATCTAGCGCTGGGGAAAGGCACCAGGGCGACAGCCAGAGGACACCTGAGAATCCATGAGCCCAGGCCAGCTTGTGGGTCCCAGCTGGTGACTGGGAGGCAAAAAGGCCCCACCTCACAGGCCTGATCTCCCCGGATTGAGGCCAGGGTTAGAGTGGAGCCCAAGGCTGGAACAAGAACAAAGAGAAACTCCCCTTGGCGGCAGGAGCGATGCTAGGGCCGGTTGTTTTTCTCCACACACACACACGCACCATCGGCGCTCGGAGCCCGTTCCCACAGCACAGGAGTCCTCAAGGACGATAAACAGGATCCACTCCCAGGTCCCTTTGGCACCGCGCCCACGCAGCAGGGAGCTGCTTCCTCGGCAGCCCCTGGGAGACCGGGCGGCGGCAGCCCGGGGGGGACGGGGGAGAGGAGCGTGCGCCAGCAGAGACAGGCGCGAGAGCCAGCCAGATTCGAACGGGGAGCCCTGGAGAAAGCCACGGGGAGCTCACCCCAGGATCACGCTGGCCAGACCCCACTCTGCTGGGGAGCCGGGACGTCCCTACGGGAAGGAACCTGCAGCCTTCCCCTGACCGCAGCTTCTTTGCCTCACCTCCTGGCCTGCCCCTCCAAGGGAGCCCGTAACAGGGAGCATCCACTGGCTGCCAGCTGCATCCAGGACACAGAGCCACACACACCTGCATGTCCCCAGCCAAGATCCCTTTCCTGAAAGCCCCGACATGCCCTCCAGACACTCCTGGAGGAGGCTGCGGAAGGCATTCACATTCTTGAGCTTAACCCACGCAAGGCCTTGACACGGGTTCAGCGGGGCGTGGCACCTCCTGGGGGGAGCCTGGCTTGAACTCGGCCAGTTTAACACGCCCGCCCTAGGCTGTCCAGCCTTGGCTTCGGAGGTGTGGCCCGCGCCAGCCTCTCCCTTGGCTGGCCCGTCCGAGGCTGCTCGGCTCCAGAGCACGGGCAACGCTCACCCTCTCCTCCCAGGCCAGACGGCAGCAGTTCTCCAAGCGTGGTCCATGGACCAGTAGTGGTCTGCGACCATCTTGCGGGTTTCGGGCTTGTCCCCCCCCTTCCGCCTGCCCCTCTCCCCCATGAGGATGGTCCTCCAGTGTCCGCTTCCCGCTCCTGGGGGGGTGGGGGCAAGACTCACCAGCTGGATCCAGCTTGTGGGGGTAAGAAAACGGCTTCATGCGCTGCCCTCCTCCCCCCGCCCCCCAGCTGGGGGAACGGCAGTGCAGGAATCCATTTGCCGGGAGGCTGCTCCCATTGGCTGGGAGGCTGCTCCCATTGGCTGGAATCACAGCCAATGGGAGCAGTGGGAGGCACAGAACCAGGTAAAGGCCTCCCCCATGCCCAGACCCTGCACCCCATCACCCTCCCGTACCCCCCTCCAGCCGATACCGCACGCCTGCACCGTCCCTCCCAGATCTTGTTACCCTCAGCCCGCTCCAGCGCCCTACTTCCTGGCCGGACCCCTCCACCCATTTTGTCAGCACGGGCGATGGGATGGTGGTATGTGGAGAGGCCTGCGTCAAGCAGGGTGGCCCGTGGGCCCAGAAGTTTGAGGACTCCTGCCCGACGGGGATTCAGGGGCAGAACTCAGCTGCCCTGCTCCAGCACCCGGTTCAGGCGCCAGCACAAGCAGGCAAAGCCCAGGGCGTATGCAGGTAGCGGCTCCTACCTTGGACACAATGATGGGCTTCCTGAAGTCCCTTCCTCCCGTGATCCGGAAGCCCCAGGGGGCCGGACCGGTCAGATTCACCGCCACGGACATGGCAACTCCTCTGGTGGCAGCACCCGGAGGGGGATCTGGAAATGGAACAAAGCCAAGGCATCAGCGGGGGGAACAAGCTTTAAGCCACTGGATCCCCTCCCCCCCCCATCCCAGACCCAGGACTAGAACCCGTGTCCCGACTCCCCCTCGCCCTCCTCCAATGGGAGGGGCTGCCCGACAGCGATCAGGGCCCTCACGCTGGGTCGTCTCGGCGCTGCCCTCCGTCACATGGCAATCGGAGCGCCACACTCATCCGCACGGTGGCTCTTTCCTTCCGGGGAAGGGAGCGGCGAGACACAGAGCTGTGTCTCACTCTGCCTTCCTGTCACAGGCCTGAGACCAACCCATAAGGCCAGACGCTTCCTTTCCGAACCACAAGCAGTTGGGGCGGAGGGAGGCGGATCTAGGCAAAGAAACACATGGCGGCCAGGCTGCTGGCTACACTCCCAGGCCTGCCGAGCCTGGTGGGAAAAGGCAGAGAACAGGGAGGGATCAGACACACTGGCTGGATGGTACCAGCACTGCAGGCAGAAAACTGGAGCATCTTGTTTGCACACTGCCCCCTACACACCTGGCCCTTTTGCAACACAGAAAGCCGGTGCATTGGTAGAGCCGTCTGCTGGTGAACACAACATGCTATGGAGATGGGGGGGGGGGGAGGGCAGCACCACGCACAGCAGGGCTGGGGGCAGACGGAGAGGACAAGGGGACCAAAGCGGATTCAAGAAGGGACCCGGCTAAGATCCTGGTGGGACACCTCCAGAGACCTAGACATGGGCACAGGCAGGGTCCAGAACAAAGCTCCCGCTAATCTTTTCCATCCATGTGTGGAATAATTTTATGTGCACTGAGGAATGTGCAGATGTGCACCACAACTATACACACAAAACCCCAGCTATGTGTAAAGTAATGCACATCGGGAAAAATAACCCCAACTATACGTACAGTATGATGGGGGCTAATTTGGCTACGACAAATCAGGAAAGAGATCTTGGAGTTATCGTGGATAGGTCTCTGAAAAGTTCCACACAGTGTGCAGCGGCGGTCAAAAAGGCAAATAGGATGCTAGGAATTATTAAGAAAGGGATAGAAAATAAGACACAGAATATCTTACTGCCCCTGTATAAAACTATGGTACGCCCACATCTTGAATACTGTGGTCTCCTCACCTCAAAAAAGACATTTTGGCCTTGGAAAGGGTTCAGAAAAGGGCAACTAAATGATATGGGGTTTGGAACGGGTCCCATATGAGGAGAGGTTAAAACAACTGAGACTTTTCAGTTTAGAAAAGAGGAGACTGAGGGAGGATATGATAGAGGTCTATAAAATCATGAGTGGTGTGGAGAGGGCCGATAAAGAAAAGTTATTTATTAGTTCCCATAATAGAAGAACTAGAGGACACCAAATGAAGTTAATGGGTAGCAGGTTTAAAACTAATAAAAGAAAGTTCTTCTTCACACAGCGTGTAGTCAACCTGCGGAACTCCTTGCCAGAGGAGGCTGTGAAGGCTAGGACTATAACAGAGTTTAAAGAGAAGCTAGATAATTTCATGGAGGTTAGGTCCATAAAAGGCTATTAGCCAGGGGATAAAATGGTGTCCTTGGCCTCTGTTTGTCAGAGGCTGGAGAGGGATGGCAGGAGACAAATCGCTTGGTCATTGTCTTCGGTCCACCCTCTCTGGGGCACCTGGTGCTGGCCACTGTCGGCAGACAGGATACTGGGCTAGATGGACCTTTGGTCTGACCCAGTACGGCCGTTCTTATGTGCTAATCAGCTGGGTGGGGTTCGAATCTCCCCGAACAGCCGCCCGAGCGCACAGCTCACAGCAGTGGTCACCAACCAGTCGATCAGGATCTACAGGTAGATCTTGGAGCCTCTGACGGGTGATCCTGACAGGTTTGGCCAAGAGGCTCTCAAGGGCGGGCACGTCAGCTGCCCTTCCCCCACAGCTGTGCATCTCCTGCCCTTCGCCCTGGTGCTCCATCCCCCTCGCTCCCCCCCCTCTGCTTGCAGTACAGAGCGGGGAGGGAGAGGAGGGGCACTGATGTCAAGGTGCCCCTTCCCTCTCTGTATCCTGTCTGCACAGAGCAGAGAGGGGCCCCAACAGGACTTGGGAGGGAGTTTGCTGGCTGCTTTTGGGAGTGGGGCAGGGCAGGGGGGAGGATGAGCCTGACTTAGCTCCACTGCTCCACCACCCAGGAGCCAACTGGGGTAAGCAGCGCTCATGCTCCTGCCCTAGCCCCAAACACCTCTGCATCCAAACCCCCCCCCAGACCCTGCACCTAGAACCCCCTCCGGCACCCCAGCTGCCTGCCCCAGGCTCAGAGCCTCTGTCGCACCCCCAATCCCTTAATTCAAGGCCAGAGCCTGCACCCCAACCCTCTGCCCCAGCCTGGTGAAAGGGAGGGAGGATGGAGCGAGCAGGGGCAGGGTCTCAGAGAAGAGGCCCAAAGGGAGCCCGGCAAGGGTGTTCGGGTTTGAGGAAGATCCTGGATCGCACTTACATTCAAAAAGGCTGGAGACCCCTGGCTTACGGGGAACACCGGTCCTGAGAGGCGTGGGCCTGGGTGGGGGCACACGGAAAGCAGGGCCAGGCCTGGGGGAGATGGCTCCGAGGGGACAGAATGGGGAGGGAGGCTGGTGCTGCTGGCCCCATGGTGCATATTGGGGGATGGGGAGGGCTGGTTGGAATGGAGGGGGGCTACCGGGCGGCAGGAGGCCGATAGTAACAGGCTTGTGGAGCCAGTGCAACGGGGGTCCTGTCAGCTCTTTCAATAGCTCCCTGCTGGCTTTTGCTGCTGCTCAGCCAGCTCCGGCAGGAGCCAAGCCCCAGGGCGCCCCAGCTGTCACCTCTGCTATGGCAGATCCCTGCTCCTTGCAGGGAGGAGATGGCGGGAGAGCAGCTGCGGGTATGGGGAAGGGGGGAGGGACATAAGTCCAGCAGTTCGGGGCTGAGGGCCTGAGCCAGGTGCCCCCACCCGGGCAGGAAGCAGAGACAAGGCAAAGCAGGAAGTTTT